AGTGGTGATGGACCCTGAGATGTGCGTTATGACAAGAACTAGACAGCCACATCACAGGCACGGACGCTGCAGGAACTGCAGACCAAAGTCCCAAACCTCGAGCCCCCACACTCACAAAGCTAAAACGTTTCCTCGTGTGAGAAACAAAACCACCAGTAACAACTTTTGGAAATAATATTTGAGTCTTGGCTCAACTGGATAATTTTGTTCTGCACCAAAAACCATTCCATTCAAATTCCCAAAGTCTACGAGCAGATTTGTACTACTATTGAGACATAGTTTCCTTCCAAACCCAATGAAATGAAAGGCAGAAACCAGCAAAAGAAAAAATTTAAAAACATATATAAGATGGTTTGCCATTTTATGAAAAACAAATGAAGAATTACACTCCCATCACACTGATAAACTGAGAGGCTGCCAGTGGCTTTCAGGGCAGATGTAACATTTTAACAAATGTGATTGTTTGTGAACGAAATAATTCTGATCAAAAACTTAATTGCAGCCAAAGTGAGCCCTGGGCTGTGTCACCATAATCCATCCTGACAGGAAGCAGTGAGTGGAGATCCCTACTGTGAATGGCGCACATGTGAAAGGTCAGCCCTGGCTGGGACTTCAAAACCGTTAACGTGTAAAACAGTGTGCATTAGAGCCCGGAACGGCGAACCGCTGGATTAGCGGATGTCCGCTGTGTGGGTCTGATGTGCTTTTGGCAGGTAATGGTTAATTTGTAAATAGGCAATGGATTCTAACTTTCTTCTCTGCCTCTTCCCAACATGCACCAGCAGCGCCCATTCTTAATTACAGTCCAGAATATATACACAGTCTTAGAGTTACAGCATGGCCTCATTGTAACAGTTTCTTATTTTTAAAAATGCAGTGAATAAAAAGTTACATGTATTTTTAAAAATAAGTTTGTGTTGATATAATGAATGAAAAAAATTTTCATGTAAAATTAATGTATCTGTTTATCAAATGGCAACTATAACAGCCAAAATTTGTCAAATGAGCAATTCATTAGAATACTTTTACTCATATACTATCACATGAAAAACCAATTATATAATACTATGTTACATGGTTTAAAACAAAATTTTAAATAAAAATGCAGTTAATACCAGTTTCCATTTTTCAATCAGATGTTGCTTATGAAAGAACCAAGCTAAATATTATCTTATAAGCAAATGCATGCAAAAATACCTTACACTCACTTAGTGCTAAAAAACTGGTCCACTTGGCTTTCAATTAGCCACTTCTCCTATATATAAACCACTTAAAGTAATATAGTATTAATGAGTGATAAAAGCTGGCATTGGGTATTTCAAGTCAATGATTATTTTAGGGTTAACACATTTCTGAATTGAGTAGAAATAATACTTCTCTGAAAATGAGGTCTTCTAAAATAAGTTTTATTCCTAAGGTTGTGTCTTGGGCCACTGAGAGACACCACTCCTGGGCCCTGCGGAGGCTGACCCCTGTGGAGGCTGACCCCTGTGGAGGCTGACCCCTGCGGAGGCTGACCCCTGCAGAGGCTGACCCCTGCAGAGGCTGAAGGCGGCTACCCGGCAAGGAGAGCCGTACCACCAGCACACTCATGGCTCCTGTTCCCTTCACAAAGCCAACTGACACCTTTGGAAACAGAATCGCACATGCCACCAGCTGGAATGGAAGACTGAGAACAAGAACCTGGTCAACTCAACAAGTTACCAATTTCCTGTTTCTGCCCACCATACAAGATCTCAAACCTTTAACGTATATAGAAGATTCAGAATCTTCCTAACAGTCTGTGCCTGAAGGTGTGGGATACATTTACCCATCTGCTGCCCTGCCTGGGCTCCAGGCCCTGGGGCACAGTGTCTGCCCCTCGAGGAGCTTACAGTGTGGTGGGAGAGGGGAGGGCAGAAAGGCCAACCGTGGAGGTGAGTTAAGAAGTAAGGGAGGTAGAGGAGGAAGTGATCAGAAAGGTGGTGTGACAGACTGGTGCTGGGCACGTACTTTCAGCCTTCCCTTCCACAGAGTAGAAACTGCAGCAGGTTCACGGAGGGCACCTAAGTTCCCCTAGGAGCTGACTTGACCCTAGGGACACAAATACAAGAGAAATGTCACAATTCACCCCAAAAAATACTTTACAAGCTTCCAAATTGGTCATTAATAGGTATTTCCTTATTCCTTTAAGTGGTTAATTACACCTGGTAGCCCACTAAGCATACATAACTGTAATTCCAGTCTCACTCTTACTTGGTTTTCCCGTCACCACAACCCTTTCTACACAGTAACTCTTCGCTGCCATTCCACTGACTTGGTGAGCCTGGGCTCAGAGAAGACGATAAACTCACCTGCAGAACGACGGCCACTCTGAGTCCCGGCGCCCAGCCGACATGCACACTCGGGGGCACGGGCCCTGCGCCAAGACGCTGCCCCACCCTCGGTGCCGACACATCACGGTCTCTCTCAGGAGCAAGATCATTGCTGAGGCAGTCACAACTACCGATTAAGAAAAAGATGCTGCTTGCTTCTTAATTGGCTTATTTTTGTTCACATGCCTTAAAATACTAAGTGTCTTGAAGATTGAACTTATACTTTAATTCAGTTCTGGACTGTGAGTTACTTTTCACAAATACAAAGAAAAATGTTACCGGTTTCATTTTAAGGGCCCATGTTCAGATGGGAGGACACCAAAGAAGTTAATCATTCAAATCTTACTTGTAGGAGCAGATTCCCCGTAACTTGTAAATTATCTTGATTTATGGCAAATCACTATTGTATTCATAAATGCTGGAAAATCGGTGAACAACATGATATAATGACACCCCCAAATAATTTTATAACTGCAGGTGTGCACCATCATAACATGTGGAAGACAACTCAAAGGATAATGGGGAATAAAGCCATTTAGAAAGGGTCACATGGAGGGGGAGAGGGATGAGGACACACACCCCATTGTCCAGGAGGCCTTTCAACCCGCCCGTCGTCCACAGCAGATGCGGCACAGCAGGCAGGCATGGGCGGCAGTCATCAGTCGCGTTTAAACAAGCAAAGGCAAAACGCTCCATAATTTACGACAACCCAATCACACTGCTCCTTCTCTTGAGGTTAAACGCTACTGACATAAGCTACACCTGAATCCAATCAGCACAGAGACGCTGAGAAGATTCACACGAGAGGACTAAATTTGTCACAAATGGGTTGGTTTCCGATCTTAATGTAACCAAGTTGCTTTACTCTGACCTCCATTGAACAAATCAACTTAATGGGCACTAGGAGTGCTATAAAACTTAACAATGGAGTGATTTTTAACTTTTAAAATATAGTTATGAAGCAAAATGTTGGAGAGCTTCTACAATACTGGAAATCAAATTAAATCTAGATGTTTTTTAACCGTCTTGACAGATATAATCCTAGTTACCATGTAAATTTATGGTAAGCTGCTGTGATATTAGCCACAGGTGCTACTTTTAATATATGAGCTGCATCTGGCTGGGAATAGAATTTCTCAGAGGACTGAAAATGACCTCACTATCAGACAATGGAAGGGGAAAAACAAGATCGCTGTGGCACAGAAAGACCTGAAGATGTGGTCTACAGCTAAATACTTCACATGAAATTCACTTTAACTCTGCAGTTGTAGATTAAAGAATATTATGTTTTCAATATTTAAGAGGCGTAGATATATTTCAACCAAATATCCAAAAGATTAAGCATGTAAGACAGTTATGAATGCCCTGGCTGCGTATATAATACTAGTGTTCCGACCTTTGATCAAGGTTGGAAAAAATGATGCACTAAGACTTGAAAAGAAAATTATTTCATGGTTCCCAAGCACACGACATGATTAGACACTGCCGAGCATTACCACACCAAGACGCAACGATTACCCACGTCTAAGTGGCAGCCGCTCTCCAGCGCCTGGCCAGCATCACTGGTTATGTTTTGAAGTTCTTTGGAGTCATTCATCACACCCAAGAAAACATTCTCGCAGGGTGAAATTTGAAAGGATCACTACAAGTAATTACCATTCTGAGTTTGAGAACCAGCAATATCACCCAGAGACAAATACGAAGGGAAAATACAAGTTTCTCTTACCTACCCAATCGAAATAAAAAGGTAACTATGCATAAAACCCAGAGCAGCTTCCTTTTAAGAAGCCCTTCCCGAACTGTTCGTTCAGGCCATCACTGGCCAGAGAACCGGCACACGAGGAAATGTGGTAGAGGATTTGAAGAGATGTAATTTCCTATGAAATAACTCTTCCCGAATTAAACCAGCCTTCTTTATCTGAAAAGTAAAAATCTCTAAAACAGAGAAACATTTCCATGAAAACACTCTCTTCGTCACTCCACTAAGCTGTGAGAACAGCGGCTACAAAGCCCTATGATGCTAACATTTTTCTTCTGACCTTCTCAAGGAACTGGAAGGGCTTGATTTTTTTTTTTTAGCTTCAGCGGATCAATTCGATCTAGGCAATGACTTCTATTTAATTGTTTTCAAACGAGTAAATGGGATCTCTGCACAGTCTCAGTAGGCACCAAGGCCCTGAGTGTTTTTAGCAAGAACCTGGTGTGACTCCCTCTCTGATTAACGGCATTTACACGGAGCATTGAGGAAGAGTGGGCTCCCAAAGCCCAATCTGTGAAGACGGTTCATTGCTGTAGAAAGGCATTGGCTAAATTAAAGATGGCCTTTCCCTTCAACAGAATATGGTTTATATCCCACCATTAAATATCGTCAAGCAAGATATTTCACTGACAGGGAAAAATGTTCACCATACGTTAAGTGAAAATGCAACCGAGCCAAAAAAATCTACAATATGACCCCAAATATCTGTTATATACACATATACATGAATAGTCACAAAACACACATTCACACATGATGTTTTTTAAGTGAACAGAAGAATTACAGGCACTATATTTTTCTTCTTTGCACTTTTCTGTTTTCCATACCATAAAACATACTATGCAATCAGGGGAAAAATGTTCTATTTATTAACAAGCTAAACATACCATATAAACGTAACATGGTGATACCGTTCCTGTGAGATTGCGGGGCCGGCCTGGTCTCTGTGGCGTATGTTAATCCATAAACATTCAACCCTATGCGTGACGCCTGCAGGTTCAAACAAATGGGAAGGTGGAGAAGACTCACTCTCAAGCTCACATAACAGAATCGTACTTTCGGACACTCAGAATTATAGTGGCCCTCTCCCCCACACATCTGCACCCATAGCCATACCTCAGAAAGCTGGGGTCTCTCAATACATGACAAGTTTATCTTCTCTCTACAGAGTTCTGACTTGCAGAGTAAAGTTTTCAGCTGTTCTCTGCAGGCCAATCTGGAAGTGAATTTCCACTCCAGATTGAAGTTGAACTCCAATCTGTAATCAACTTTAGACAAATAAGTGATCATCCAAGTATTAAAAATGAATGCAGCAATTTACAAGTCGAATTCCTATCAGCAGCTGGCTACTCTTTCCTTCGAAGTATGCAAAGGACACACGGCCCCCTTTAAGACCTCCAAAGTCAACATTTTTTCCTAACAGCACAAAGAAGAGTTCAAAATCCATGAACAGAATTGTTCATTCAAAGGTTTGGGACATTCCAAAACAACTGCAATCCACGTCCTGAAGTACCCCCGCAACCCTTCAAAACACAGAGCTGGGTTAGAGGAGAAGAGCTGTGGCCTGGGGTAGCAAGGCATCGGAAGGACGGCCACTGCCTGTCCTGTAAGTCTAAGAAAGTTTTTAACGTCCCATTAGCAAAGTGGGGTTACTAACCCTTCCTTGCAAAGCTTCTATCATTTCACAGATCACCTAACAAAGAGCTACTAATGCCTCATAGATACTCACCATTAGTTCAAAAAATACTTTGTGACTGTCCAAACTGTCACGAAGAAAACTGATTTGGGTCTACAGCCATACCACCCTGAACGTGCTCGATCTCATCTGATCCCGAAGCTAAGCAGGGTCGGGCCTGGTTAGTACTCAGATGGGAGAAAACTGACTTGGCTGCACTTCAGGTAAATGAAGCAACATTAAGAGTTACCTGTACACAGAGTGGCCTTAAAGCAACATTTTTACATCAAAATTTCCTAAAGTAGTCCAAAAAATGTATCCAATAGATTGTTAAACTTTTCTAGTTAGAATGCACCAAGTTATGATTTAAAAAAAAAAAAAAAAAACATCAGCCAAGAGTGCTGGGCCACGGTCAGAGAAAAGGGAAGGGAAGGAAAAACAGGATCCAAGGTGAACAGAACTGTCTGGAAACATGTGAGTGCCTAATCGAAGGGGTCTGTGGCCGTCTCCCAAGGTGAGACTGTGGGGAGTCTTAGAAGACTGTGCCACGGGCCGTCAGGACACCAAGATTCACGAGAGACTGGCTGTGGGTAGCTGAAGCTGTGCAGCCAAGGTGCTAAGTGCCAACCTCAGGCTCTCATTATCGGAGGCAATTTCCTGGAGATGCCCTAAGTGGCTCCTTTCTCCGATACTTCAAATCTGCCCGCAGAACAAAGGCACGGCCACTGCTGCTCTTCTGGGAAGTGCGCCATCACACTGCTGATCACCCCGTCACATCGCGCAACCTAAGCGGCCAAGTAACCTGGTCACCATCAGGAACCATCTGTGTCTAGCGGTGAAGAAATGAGGGTGAGGAAAAGTCCCCTGGTGAGAATGGGTTTTAGGTAGTTACCCACAGAAGACAAAAAGACAAAAACCACTATGTCCCCTCTGGGGCCAAGGACACTGAGTAGGATCACCTACCGTGAACACGATCGAGGGACCTGTGTACTAAAATGCACCCGGGCAACACTGGGCCAGGTGCAGGAGATGTGCGCCAGCACAACCCAAGTCTCTGCCCTCGAGGAGCTCCCACCCTCGCTGTGGAGAAAACACAGGAGAGTAGTGTTACGTTTCTCCACTGCATGATTGAAACTGCACTTAGTGACATCCGGACTCTGCCACTGCTTCATTGCCAACTTAGGCGAATCCCTTCACCCCTAGACCTCGGCTGCCTCACCCCTTCTAGTCCTAATGTTCACAGGAGCATTATCAAAACAAGGCTGGGAGAACGTCACAAACAAGATAATCCACAGGCTGAATTCTAAATGGGAAAGAGACAACAAACTAAAGCCTGTGGCTATCAGATCTGTTGACGGCACATGAGCCCCACTTCCTCTCCAGGCCGCCCTGCACCCCACCCTGCAACCATCCTTGCTATGGTCACCGACAGCCTGTGCGCTGCCTAATCCAGCGGTCGTCTTTCGGTGCTCACCTTAGTTAAGTCTCAGCAGAACCGATTCCTCCCTTTTTAAAACAGCATGTTCTTTTGAATTCCGTGGTATTACAACGCTGGCCTGGTTTTCACCCCATGTCACTAACAGGTGTTTCTCAATCTTCTGCCAGTAACTCCTTTTCTGTCCAACCCCTGAATGCACAGAGGCCTGAGCCCTCCTCCTCTCACACAAGCTGAGCCCAAGTGACAACATCCATTGTCTTGCCTTCTTCGACACACACCTGTGACTCCCCAGATATCTTCGTCCCAGATCCCTACCCTGAGCCCCCAACTCAGACATGAAACTACCCTCTGAAGTTCACGTTTAGATGTCTCACGGCCAATCACACTTAGCAGGTCCACACCAGAAATCTTTATCCCTGCACCCCATCCAGTCCCTCTCCCACAATTCTCCAGTTCAGTAAATGTCACTCCCAGTCACCCAGTTCCTCCAGGTCCTGAATCTGGGAGTCATTCTTTTAAAACCCCTCTCTTTCCTCATAACCCTTCACCACTCCTCCCTAGAGAAACTTGGGTTTTCTCCTAATATTTGCATTTTTTATTGTTCCTCTGGTTCCTGCTCATGTAAACCCCAAAATATAGCTCCAACCTGTACGCCTCTTTGCTTCCCTTCTGTCACTGTGCCATTCCACAATTTCCTAGCGATGACACCTCATCTGGATGAGTGAAACAGGATCCTTACTATTCTCTCCACGTGACTTTTACCCCTTACCCGCCCACTCCTCCTGAGTCCTCTGACTGGTCTTTTTAAGAAAATGCATCAGCCCTACACCCGCCTCCTTCCACTAGGCAGTCTTTTTCTTGGAGGGACTGCTCTGTTGAAAGTCTGGCAACAGCCCTCCCGTGTCATTGCATACTCTTCCCTCCATCCCGCCATGCCTCCATGACGATGCATGTGAATGTCCTGGCTGATGCTCTCAAGAGCATCAACAATGCCAAAAGGAGAGGCAAATGCCAGGTGCCTGGTAGACCACGTTCCAAAGTCACTGTCCGGTTTCCAACTGTGATGATGAAGCCCAGTTACACTGGCGAATTTGAAATCACTGATGACCACAGAGCTGGGGAAATTGCTGTGAACCTCACGGGCAGGTTGAACAAGTGTGCAGTGAACAGTTCCAGATTTGATGAGCAGTTCAAAGATCTAGAAAAACACAGAATAACCTGCCCCACCCATTATACTGTCAACCTCAGCTGGCATCACAGACCAGGAAGAAAGGAGGCAAACACACACAGGACAGAAAACCCTGGGATTCTTTCCCTAGAATGTAATACCTATACACAAATAAAACGCCTCAACAGGCAAAAAGAAAACTTGCATCAGCTATTGCTTCCTGAGGCTTACCAGCAGTGGGGCCTTGGGCAAGTCACTAGATCTAAAACTCAGCTTCCTCATCTGTACACTGAAGAAAATATTATCTATTTCACAGGATTTCGTAAGGATTAAGTGAATAAATACACGTAAACTCCTATAATGGTCTGACCCATAAGCTCTGCGTGTTTACCACCCAAATCAAGTCTCAGTCCATCACTATTTGTTCCCCCATTCCCCTGACCACCTTCCTCCCCACCCTCACCCTGCCAATCACCATAGTGTTATCTGTGTCCGTGAGTTTTTTTCTCTTTTCTTTTTGCTCAATCCCACTATGCAGTCCTGCCCTGACAGCTGTCAGCCCGCTCTCTATGAGTCTGTCACTATTTTGCTTATTAGTTCAGTTTGTTCTCTAGAGTCCACATATGAGTGAAATCATACGGTATTTGTCTTTCTCTGACTGGCTTATTCACTTAGAATAATGCTTACCAGGCCCATCCATGCTGTAGCAAAGGGTAAGATTTCCTTCATTTTTACTACTGAGTAGTATTCCACTGTGTAAATGGACCATAGCTTTTTTACCCACTAATCTACTGATGGGCACTTGGGCTGCTTCCAAATCTTGGCTATTGCGAATAATGCTGCAATGAACATAGAACACATTATGTTGAGTTAGTGTTTCATGTTTCTTCAGATTTAGTCCCAGAAGCGGAATCACCGGGTCAAAAGGCAGTTCCATTTTTAACTCTTTGAGGTACCTCCATACTGCTTTCCACAGTGGCTGCACCAATCCACATTCCTGCCAGCAGTGCACCAGGGTTCCCTTTTCTCCACATTCTGGCCAGCACTTGTTGTTTGCTGATCTATTGGTAATAACCATGCTGGCCAGTGTGAGGTGATATCTCATTATGGTTTTGCTGCATTTCTTTGATGATGAGTGATGCTGAGCAACTTTTCAACTCCAAAGAGGGCCATCTGGGTGTCCTCTTTGGAGAATTGTCTACTCAGGTCCTTTGCCCATTTTTGAATTGGATTGTTTGGGGTTTTTTGGTGTTGAGTGTCATGTTCTTTATAAATTTTGGGTATTCTCCCATTCAGTGGGATGTCTTTTCATTTTGTTGATCATTTGTTTTGCTGCGCAAAAACTTTTTAGTTTGATGTAATCCAATTTGTTTATTTTTTTCTTTAGTTTCCTTTGCCTGAAGAGATATATCAGAAAAATATTGCTATGAGAAATGTCTGAGATTTTACTGCCTATGTTTTTCTTTTCAGATCTGTATGGTTTTGCATCTAATATTTAAGTCTTTAATCCACTTTGTGTTTCTTCTTGTGAATGGTGTAAGGCGGTCTAGTTTCATATTTTTGCACACACCTGTCCAATATACTCAACATTATTTATTGAACAGACTGTCTTAACCCATCATATATTTTTCCCCATTTTGCCAAATTTAATTGACTATAAAAGTGTGGGTTTGTTTCTGGGCTCTCTATTCTGTTCCATTGATCTATAATGTCTGTTTTCATGCCAGCACCATGCTGTTTTGATTACTATAGTTTTATAATATGGCTTGGTATCAGGTAGCATGATTCCTCCAACTTTGATCTTCTCAAGACTGCTGTTGCTATTCAGGATCTTTTGTGGTTCCATATAAATTTTCAGAATATTTGTTCTAGTTCTGTGGAATAAACCATTGGGATCTTGGTAGGAATTGCACTGAAGCTATAGATGGCTTTGGGTAGCACGGACATTTTAATTATGTTAACTACTCCTAATCATGAATGTGGTAAGTCCTTCCACTCCTTTGTATCTTCTTCAATTTCTTCAACGTCTTATAATTTTCCAAGTATAGATCTTTTACTTCCTTGATTAAATTTATTCCTAGGTACTTTGCTCTTTTTGAGGCAACTGTAAGTAGAATTGCTTGCTTACATATCTGATAGTTCATTATTTATGTATAAAAATGCAACTGATTTCTGGATGTTTATTTTGTGTCCTGCTACTTCACTAAATTCATTTATTGGTTCTAACAGTTTTTTGGTGGAATTTTTAGGTTTCTTTATATACAGTGTTATGTCATCTTCGAGTAATGACAATTTTCCTTCTTCCTTTCCAATGTGGATGCCTTTTATTTCTTCTTATCTGACTGCTGTGGCTAGGACTTCTGGTACTAAGTGGAATAAGAGTGGTGACGGCAGACATCCCTGTCTGGTTTCTGATCTTAAGGGGAATGCCCACTGAGTATGATGTCGGCCGTGGGTTTCTCCTATTGGCCTTTATTCCGTTGAGGTGTGTTCCCTCTATTTCCACTTTCCCGAGAGTTTTTATCATAAATCGGTGCTGAATTTTATCAAATGCTTTTCCTTATTGATAGGACCATGTAGTTTTCATTCTTCATTTTGTTGATGAGATGTATCACACTTATGGGTTGGCAGATATTGTACCGACCTTGCATCCTCAGAATAAATCCCACTTGATCATGGTGTGTGATCTTTTTAAACTATTGCTGGATCTGGTTTCCTAATATTTTGTTGAGGATTTTAGCATCTGTGTTCATCAGAGATATTGGCCAATAATTTTCTTTCTTCATAGTGTCTTTATCTGGTTTTAGAATTAGGATAATGCTGGCCTTGTAAAATGAGCTTGAGAGCCTTCTATCGTTTTGAATTTTTTGTAATACTTTGAGAAGAATAGGTGTTAGTTCTCCTTTGAATGTTTGGTAAACTCACCTAGAAAGCCATTCAGGCTAGGACTTTTGTTTGTTGGAAGTTTTTTTATAACTGCTTCAATTTCACTAGCTGTAATCTGTCTGTTCAGATTCTCTGATTCTTCCTGATTCAGTTTTCGAATATTGTATGTTTTAGATTGTCGATTGTCCAATTTGCTGGTCTTGTTTTTTTTCTTTGAATTTCTTTTGGTGTCAGTTGTTACTTCTCCTTTTTTATTTCTGATTTTATTTATTTGAGTCCTCTCTTTTTTTTTTTTTTTTTTTTTTGATGAGTCTGGTTAAAGAAATGTCAATCTGTTTCCTTTTGTTCTGATTTTTGTTTTTTTTCCTCTTCTTGATCTTTATTCTTTCCTTTGATTTTTATAATTTTGCTTTAGGCTGTGTTGTCCTTTTTTTCAAGTTCCTTCCAGTTTAAAGATAGATCGGGATTTTCCTTGTTTTTTGAGATACACCTATAATGTTATAAATTTCCCTCTTAGGACTGCTTTTGCTGTGTCCCATAGAGTTTTAGATTGTTGTGTTCTCATTTTCATTTGTTCGAGGTA